GTGGGAGGACCACTTGAGCCTGGGAAGCAGAGGTTGCAGTGAGTCAAGATTGTTCCACTGTGCTCCAGCCTGGGTGACAGAGGGACAGCCTGTCTCAAAAAAGAGAAAAGGAAAGGAAAGAAAAGAAAGGAAAGGAAAGGAAAGGAAAGGAAGAGAAAGAGAGAAAGAAAGAGAGAGAGAGAAAGAAAGAAAGAAAGAAAGAGAAAGAAAGAAAGAAAGAAAGAAAGAAAGAAAGAAAGAAAGAAAGAGAAAGAAAGAAGGAAGGAAGGAAGGAAAGAAAGAAAGAAAAAGAGAAAGAAAGGAAGGAAGGAAGGAAGGGAGAAAGAAAGAAAGAAAGAAAGAAAGAAAGAAAGAAAGAAAGAAAGAGAGAGAAAAGGTTGCAACCCAGCTTACCTCTGACTATCTGTGTAGCATTGGTCAAGAAAATTAACCTGTCCGAGCCTCAGTTTTCTCACCTGTAAAATGCCTGCGAGACTTTATCAGGATGAATAGTAGAGTGTCGATCGAGGTGCTCACTGAATGGTGGTCTTTATCCCCTCTGCTATTTTTCCAGAGGCCAAAGGGCCTAAGGCCTACCCCAAACGTGCTTCAGGTGGGGGAGCTCAAGTCCGTAGCTGACCTCAATTCCCTGGGATCATGGGCAGCCCTTGCCTTTCGAGCCCTGCCACACAGTGGACTGCAAAAGCCAAGCTGGCTTTTAAATCAGCAAAAGGAACTCTCTGCTAAACATCTCCCCCAGGGCCAGAGAGAAATGTTTAGCTGGCTGTTAGCCAGAGCTGGGACGGCCACTTGTTACCTCTGCCTGGTCTGGGCTCTAACCTTTTGAAAACTCATCACCCAGGCTAGGACTGCAGGCTGAAAACCAGGCAGGGAGGGGAAGGACGTGGGCGTCTCCTTGGACAGGCCTATAAATCCAGCCAGCTGGGCAGTCATCCACCCACCTAGACTCAGGCCTGCTCCACAGCTCCTTCAGATGCCCGGGCTCCTGTCTTCTGTCTCCTCTGAGCCCCATTATCCAGGAACACTTCTTCCTATTCCCCTTCCCTACTTCCTACCCCCAGGGGTCTCTCTCTCTCTCTCTCCCCCCCCCTCCCTCCCTCCCTCCCTGTCTCAGTGTCTCTCCAACTCCCGGGGGGGGGGGGGGGCCTTTATCCTTCTGTCTCTCAACATCCAACATCCTCTGGCTCCTAATCCTATTCCCCTGCATCTCTTTCTCTTTCCATTGCCTTCTCTGTGTCACTGAGTTTTCCTGTCTCCCTGAGGGGAGGGACCTCCTTCCTCTCCACCTCTCTGACTCTTGCTCTCTCTTGCTCCTTCATTGTATGTCTCGCCCCCTCTTCCCTCCTCTTCTAATATTTGGCCCAGCCCAGTCGGCCCCAGCCCACCTCTCCTTGGAGCTGTGTGCCACCTTGGAATGCCTGTGAGCACAGGGAGGAGCTGAGCCCCCGTGGTTCCACAGGGGTCTGGTAGGAGCTCTGATATGGTTTGGATATTTGTCCCCTCCAAATCTCGTGTTGAAATGTGACCCCCAGTGTGGGAGGCGGGGCCTGGTCGGAAGCATTTGGGTTGTAAGGGCGGATCCCTCATGAATGGCTTGGTGCCCTCCCCATGGCGATGTGTGAGTTCTCGTTCTGTTGGTTCACGGGAGAGCTGGTTGCCTAAAAGACTGTGGCCTCCCTCTTGCTCCCTCTCTTGCCACGTGACATGCCTATTCCCCCTCCACCTTATACCATGAGTGGAAGCTTCTGGAGGCCTCACCAGAAGAACATGTGGGTGCCATGCTTGTACAGCCTGCAGAATTGTGAGCCAAATAAATCTCTTTCCTTTACAAATTACCTAGCCTCAGGTATTCCCTTATAGCAACCCAGAACGGACTAACACAAGCTCCCTACCCTCCAGTCTGCCCTCCGTCCTCTGTGCAGGGCAGAGATGTTCAGAACCAGAGAGCAACCCCCGTGTAGCCCAGGGGCCACGGCTTTCCAGGCCCAGCCTGATTCCTCTAATACTGCAGCATCCCAGACTCCCTCCCTCTGCCTCTCTGGGACATGGCTTCTATCAGACTTCTTTCCACATCAGCCCTTAGAACTGCCTGTTTCTGGGAAAACTAAGAAACTAGGACAAATAAGACATCACATTTATACTAGTGGGACATTCACTTAACCAAATAAGGAGTATCTATTCAATAGAATTTATGAAAAGCTGTGATGTGGATCGATGCATACTGATATTAAATGCAAATCCAATTAATTAAAAAAGCAGGCTGAAAAATAGCCTGTAGAATATAAACTCATTTTGTAAAAGAAAATAAACATGCATATATAGGCATCACCTCCAAAATGTTAACTTATTTATCTCTGGGTGGTGGGAGTATGACTGACTTGTTTTGTATTATAATAAACAAATATTTCTAGGTCGATAAAAAATTACAAGAATAACTTAAAAAACAAACCAGGGCCAGACATGGTGGCTCACGCCTGTAATCTCAGCACTTTGGGAGGCCGTGGAGGGAGGGTCACTTGAGGTCAGGAGTTCGAGATTAGCCTGGCCAACACGGTGAAACCTGTCTCTACCAAAAACACAAAAATAGCCGGGTGTGGTGGCACATGCCTGTGATCTCAGCTCGTCAGGAGGCTGAGGCAGGAGAATCGCTTGAATCTGGGAGGCGGAGGTTGCAGTGAGCCAAGATCATGTCTCTGCACTCCAGCCTGGGTGACAGAGACTCCATCTCAAAACAGACAACAACAGAAAACAACAACAACAACCACAAAAACGGAAGTAGGCAAGATAGGAATGCATCTTCCTCACCACCTCTTTATTCATTTCAACAGAAACATTTCAGAAGCACCTACTCAATGCTGGGCCTGCCCACAGCTGAGCAGGGAATATGGTCCCCGCAATAACCTCTGTTGTTGGCTGGGGTAACCCAAGGAGACCCTTCAGGTAGGGGCTGAAGGCAGCAGGAGGTTCTTTTTGTTTGTTGTTTCTGTTTTTTGAGGCAGGGTCTCAGTCCATTGCCCACACTGGAGTGCAGTGGCACAATCACTGCTCACTGCAGCCTCCACCTCCCTGGGCTCAGGTGATCCTCTCCCCTCAGCCTCCTGAATAGCTGGCACCACAAGTGTGCACCACCACGCCCAGCTAATTTTTTGTTTTTTGTTTTTTTTTTTTTTTTGGTAGAGATAGGATTTCACCACGTTGCCCAGACTGGTTTCGAACTCCTGGACTCAAGTGATTTGGGAGGCCTGGGACACCTAGGCCTCCCAAAGTACTGGGATTACAGGCGTGAACCACTGCCAGGCTGAGAAGGAGGTTCTTCCGCGGGAGAAGGCTACACAGAGGGGAGGATCTCAGGCCTGAAGGGTCTAGAAGCCCACTGGGAGGTCTTCCAGACACCTGGGGCATCTAGCTCCTGAAGAGTAGACACAGGAGCTGCTGCCCAAGAGGTACGACAGAGAGAGGGGCAGAGGATGTGGGGTCCACCCCTCTGTCCTCAGGGAGTTTCTTTGGAGAGAGAAGAGAGTGAGGCTGGGCTCAGAGGAAGTTCCTCCCACCACCCCGCGGAGCTCAGACTAGTCCAGTGGTGGCAGCTGCCCTGGCAGGAATCAAGCATCGACCCACAGTGGCCTCACGTCTCTGAGGTCTTTGCAGGTAGAAGTCTCCTGCCATGATACCCCACCACAATGGAACCCGTCGTTGGGGACTGCCACAGCATGTTCTCAGGGGCTGGGACACGGGCCAAATACCACAGCCACCAAGGCCATGGCCTGTGCTCTCTCTAAGCCCAGGGAAGAACACCCTCTCGGGCCCTGTGGTTCTATTTTTGTTTCTTTGTTTCATTTCCTCTGCTGTCCTCTTCTCCAGAGCCCAGCGCTGCGGCTGAGAAAATGGGTATCTCCTAGAGATTCCTGCCTCCCACGCACCAGCCCCACCACCAGAGGGCGCCCGAGCACAGAGACTCCGCAACCGGAGCGGGAGCCCTAAACCTGTCAAAGTGGGTAAGCCCTAGAGTAACCCTGGAGGGAGGGCCCTGGAGGGGGCCTCAGGGTGGGGACCTGCCCGGCTCAACCAAATATGGTTTGTTACCTTGGTGGCCATCCGCAGCCAGGTGGTCCTGCCACACTGCTAACCCAGAGGATTTAGGAGGTAGACAGGGATTTGGGAAGTGGCTGAAGAGCACTGGAGAGACAAACTCCTGCGGTGCAAGGAGTCCTGGACCGGGAGTCCGGAGGAATGGGGGCGCTCCTTTCCCTGTGACCCTAGGTTTGTTTTCTCATCTGTAAACAAAGGCGGGGCGGGGGGGGGGGAGAAGGGAAAGACTCCATGGTACCCAGGTGCCCTTCAGGCTCTAACCAAAGACATGCCCCACCCTCCTGGAGGAACCCTGCGGGTCGCAGAGGAGGGCTGGAGACGTAGCGGCAGCGGTTTCCCCCGCAGCGCAGGAGCGCCCGGCACTGCGCTGAGTCAACTGCGGTCAGGGGGTCACCTGCCCGCGACAGCGAGCGCGCACCCACATTCTCGACCAACCCAGGCTGGCCCCCAGCCCACTCTCGGGTCCCAAAGCCCAAACATCTCACATTGCTGGCTCCGGCATCTCCCCACCAGCCGCCAGGAATGGGCGCAGAGGGATATGCGTCTTCTGCGGCGGGTGCGGGGCGAGGACCCTGACCCCAGCTCCGGGAAGTCAACCGCGGGGAGGAGACAGCTCTCCATCCTCAGCTCCGCCTCCGCCCCGCCTGCGGCTTCACTCCAGCCCGGATGCCGGCGATGGGGAATAGACCAGGGAGGCTGGAGCGCTCTGGACCGGGGGTGGATACACTTGGGGAGACAGGCAACCGACCCGCGCACCGGTGGCGCAACCTCGTTCCGGTGACCGAAGCTTGTGGAGGTAGCTCCACTCCCGGCTCCCTGGTCCGGCATCCCCCTGCCACCTCCTCCCCCACCTCCCCAAGTCTTGGGAGCCTGGGCCCCGAAGGTTCAAAAAGTCAAGAGCCTGAAAAAAATGCACTGTGCAAATATATTGACTTTATTTGTCTCCTTTCAGGAGCCTCACAGACATATCCAGGTAAAAAGATCGTTAAATAAACGCCTTCAGTCATCTCAATGCAAAAATAAATATCAATCCTCCAGACGCAGCAGCAGCAGCAGCTGCGCTGCGCCCCAAGTCCCAACGGCCACGCCTAACAATTATAAAAGTGTTCAGCGAGAGTGTTGGCGTGAGTGTGAACGGGTGTGCGCTGGGGGTCACGGTGGAGCGGTGTGCAAAATCGGAGTTGCAAACCAACAGACAAGGGCATGGAGCGGCGACCCGGGCGGCCCTGGCGACTCGAGGCCAACTCAGCGCGGGCGCGCCTCCCCGCACACACTCACAGCAGAGTTCGCACTGGGAAGAGTTAAAAAATAAACATTTACAAGGACAAGGAAAGCGGTCCCGCTCCCGGCGTCCCCGGGCCAGGGCGAGCGCGGCGAGGGGCGCACCGATCGGTTCGCAGCGGGGCGGGAGTCCGAGTGCGCGAGGGGCGGCGGTCCCGGGTCCTTGCGGGTCCCCCGGGGGCAGGGCGCGGGCTCTCTCGGGGTTCGCACGCCGGTCCCCGCGCGGATCGCGTACGCGCGCGTTCCCCCCTCGGGCGGCGCCCCTCACAGGGCCGAGTCGGAGTCGCTGGAGTCCAGGCTGTTCCTCAGTTTGCAGCTGCTGAGCTGCTCCCGCTGCAGCGACAGGCTCTGCGTGCTGCGGCGCAGGCACTCCAGGCTCTGCAGGAACGACTTCTTGGCCTTCTCCTCCTCCATGGGGGACACCCCCTCCTCCTCCACCTCCTGGATCTCGTCGAAGGTCACCGGCTGCGTCTTGAAGCGAGACTGGCGCGGCCGCCGCAGCCGGCCCCGGCCCTTGGACAGCT